CATTAAATTCCAGTGAAATATATTTATGTTTGTGGTTGTAATGTGACAAAATATGGAAAAGTTCAAGGGGTATGAATACTTTTGCAAACCACTGTAAATCAGGGTCATAAATAAAGTGGATTCATGCCAACTTAAAACAACTAGTTTCAGAATGTTTTATACTGGTTCATTCAAATGTTGTCTTATTATTCTTTCTACTGCCTTCAATGTCACATTTTACATTTTTTAAATAAAACATTTTGCTCCAAAATGGCAGAAATCTATTTTGTTTATAGATCTTCTTGGACTAGTTACTCTAGTCAGATTTAACTTCAACTTCACCAAACTGAGTTCATTCAATCTATAACATTGATAATTCACAACTTTTTCACAAAACATTACTTTAACACAGAAGTATCAGTCATTTTCATCAAGGGCCACGTGAGTATTATGGTTGCCCTCAGCTGTACTTTTCCTCATCTCTTTACAGCTGAGCACCACAAAAAAATAACTGAGCTCTATGTGGTATTTTGTGCATAGAAACAGCATTTGAATGTGTCCTCTTAAAAACACTGAAATGTAATATGTGTACATCTGACTAAATGTGAAATAATAATAAAATAAATGTTATTAAAAGTAAAGTTTTGCTCAGTGTTGATTTCTGTTGAGTTCAACATTTTGAATTATGAACTGGGGTAGTCAGAGTTCCCCCACTTTCCGACGGGAAATTGGGCAGAACGTTCCAGTTTAAATTTACAACTTGTAAGTGGGAAATTCCCACTTCTCACTACAACTGGGCCTCTGTAAAAGAAGTTGGTGAAAATGCAATTAAATAAAGATCTTACGCTGCAAATTTATCCATCAGTCAGCTACGTTTGAACCCTGTACACCTACATCTAGTGGTGGGATGCAATCACTCAATGGGTGCATGAATTATAGGAAATGTAGTTCATGGTCAATGCTGGCTTTGAAGCTGCATTCACTTATTCAAGTCTTTAATGCATTGTTGAAGCTCTTGACCCATGTAGAATGCCATGGCAGGCCACATTTGTCCTGCACAGATTGAGTTTGACACAGTAGATCTAAACAATTGTGTTTTAAATTTAAAAAAAGAAAATAATCATTAAATTTCATACAAGTGACTGTTCAAAATTGTCATATTCAGATGTGACACATTTAGATTTTTTTCATTGTACTTGCAAGTTTAAACTATTTCAATTTATTCAGCAACTCATCAAAATACATTAATATTTCATGATGTAGGATTGAAAAATTAAGAACCTGTAGCCTTTTAATCACAGATGTTCCAGCAATAATTACAAAACCGTTGATTATTTTTACTTCTTTTATTGTATACAGCTGCAGAAAAAAGATAACACTGGATATCGTAATCAGTATAAAAGAAAGATGTCTACACACTAAACACTTTGACTCTAAATATTTACGCAAATAATTGTGAAACTACATCAGTGATGGTGCTGACATGATTGTAGGTGTTTGTCACGCAAAAAGCAAGTGCAAATGTGAAAACAAAACAGACCGCAAAAGGCATGGTATTGTCACAAGAGTCTGTTCCAACAGTGCTGTTTTTACTTGAGTAGACGTCTAAATGAAAAGCAAAGTCCAAGAAACTAAAATGAGGTCTCTGTGCAAGTCTGTGACCCCCTAACAGAACTGATTTGGCTGACATCGAATGAAACCAGAACATAATGTGTTGCAGCTGCAGCAGACATGTTTAAATAATCCAGAGAGGATCGTGTGTGAAGACCCAAAGGAAACACTGGAATTAGTCTGTCTGAAGGTCTCAGATTTAAATGCAGTATAACCACCAGATAAGTAGTCACGGGACAAATCTTTCTCCAAGAATTTATGCTTTTTTTCAGCTTTTTCACTGATGCACACAGATTGAAATTGTCATTACAGAGAGCAAGTGTTGTTTATGAGCTCGCCTTTCCTGGACCTGGTTTCTCCCAGATGCATGACATGAGACATCTGAAAGAATACTCTCTAGGATCTGATCTCTGGGCTGCCTCACAGCATTTTTCCAATGAAATAAGTTTTCATTTATTTCTGGATTTGATCACAGAACTGTACTGGGTTCATGGACTCAACCTTTCTTTACTAATTCTTTCTTCTTGTCTGCCTCATGATGTGTTTACCGACACACATACTCCTCCTTCAGAACTCAAAAAACATTAAAAAACAGCATTTTCATACTGTAAAATTCTAATTTTATGGTAATAAATATTCAAATAAATTCAGCAGCAGTAAATGTGGTCACTTAAAAGAAACTTTGACATTTAAGGAAAAATGTTTTTGTCACTCTTCCAAATTTTTTACTTGCATTTTTAAGCAGATATTAAGACTGGTCAGTAGCCACTTAGCTTAGATATTGAGATATTTTAAAGTACTGTTCATTCAACAAGAATATCAGCTGTAAATACCTTTTGGAAATATCACAACTCAGAAATAAGATAAAATAAAAACTTAATTTTGAATAGACTGACAAGCTAATGACTAATCCAAGCAGGGCCAAGACCAATATGGATTGGGGTAATCTTTAAGCAACTGTCTCAAACATTTCCTAACTGTTCAAGCAAATGCCATTTTATAAACCTTTTACTTTACTTCTTCCTTTCAGAGTTATGTGGGTCACTGCACTCTAAAAATGAAATGTTGGATTTACTTAACCATGTTATGTGACCTGGTTCCATTTAACTGAGTTGAGCAAATTCAAAGCAACATGCTCATGTTCTTTGGTTAAAAAACTGGTATATTGCTTTGAATTTACTCAACACAGTTAAGTGGAACCAGGTAACATAACATGGTTAAGTAAATCCAACATTTCATTTTTTACAGTGTGGTGCCAATATCTGGAATTACGGAAAACTTCTAAAGTTGTTCTGTTATTTAAAAAGTCCAAAGAATCGCTTGACAGGACAAAACAGCAGACCAATAAGCATCTTACCTGTACTGAGTAAATTACTGGAAGGAGTAGTGTTCAGATTCAATCTTAATGGAATATAAATTGTAATTTTTCTGATGTTTAACATGCACATGAAGAGGGTTACTCTACATGTATGGCACCAGCAGCACTTACTGATGACTGGTTAATACAGATTGATTAAAAAAATTAGTGGGAGCCGTGTTCCTTGATTTCATTGCTGCTTTTGATATTGTTCATCATGGACTCTTATCTGATTAATAGATATCTCAGTAGCAGAAAACAATGTGTGATGTTTAATAGTTTTTGTGCTAATGTTTTAACCCTTCCATGTGGTATACCACAGGGTGGCTGTTTGGGTCCTCTTCTGGTTAACATTTTTATTAATGATTTGCTGTATATGTTAAGTGACTATTAAACAATTGTATATGCGGAGGACACCATGTTTATTCTGGCTGTCTAAGTCAGGTAAACAAGGTATTGCAACAGGAATTGATGCCTGTTTATGAGTGGGTTTCTGAAAACAAGTTAAAACTAAATGTGTTTATGAAGTGGATGGTTTTAGGCTCTGAATATTTAATAAGACAGATTCCAATTTTGGATATTACTTTAAATAATAACCAAATTGAACAAATTTAAAAAAAAAAAATGAAACTGCTTGGAGTTACAGTTGACCAAACATTATTTTGGTCCACACATGAGTAGAAATATTTCTCATTTCATGTCTCTAAAAATAAGAAAAAACGATATAAAAAGCTTTATATCACATTGACTGTTGTTCAGTGGTCTGGTCCTGTACATCTAAAACAGTTCAGAGCAAAGCTGCAGGATTAGCACTGGGCTGTGAGTTTAGGACCAATGTTGATTTAATGAATCCAAGACTTGTCGTGGATGAAAGTCAAGGAAAGACAGTCTTCTTTTTTATACACATACAATTGGAATGCGACAAAAACCTTTTGACTTTTTTTCACAGCTGTCACCCGCTTCAGGGAGACATGCTTTTAATACAAGACAAGCTTCTGGTGTTTTGTTTACGTTACCCCTGCCAAGAACAAATGCACTGAAAAACAGTTTTGTATAGTAGTTTCTTATTGGAATAAGTTGCCTCTGAAACTAACAAATTTAGAAATTTACAATAAATTTTAAATTATTCTTAAAAAATCCATTATTTGCTATGACATTACATTTACATTACAGTAAAAACAGTCAATTCTTATATCCATTAATTATTGATTAATAGTTATTTCTCCTTGTTTTTCTTTTGTATTGAATTTAGATATATTTGAGCCAGTAGATTTATTTTGCTGTTTTACATTGGCTTCTTTGTTTTAAGGTTTGCGCTGGCTGTTTCTAATTTAGTTATGTTTTACTGATTAGTTTTATTGTTGATTGAACCGTTTTTGTTTTAATGTAGACCAATAAGCATCTTATACTTTATTTGGTGTGTTTTGGGCCTCAGGAAGAGTAGTCTCTGCCTATGCAGAGACTAATGAGGACCTTTAAATAAATAAACAAACATCCAGCAGTCACTGTGTGAGGGGTGGGGTACATCCTCAAGTCACAAGTCCATCACAGGTCCACATAGAGACAAACAACCATTCACTCTCTCACTCACACCTAGGGACAATTTAGAGTTACCAATTAACCAAATATTCATGGTTTTGGTCTTTGAGAGGAAACCAGAGTACCCAGAGAACACCCACACTTGCACAGAAAGAATATACAAACTTAGAAAGAACCCCGGCCCGGATTCAATTCAGCAACCTTTTTGCTGAGAGGCTATACCAACTGAGCCATCATGCTGCTTACTTAAACATATATATTATTTTTTTCCAAAAAGTAAAGACATTTAATCCACTGCAGGTAAGTTACTGACTGCTTATAACATCTCCAAAGAACCCCACTTAAAAAAAAATCTTAAATATTTCTTTTGAAGTATTGAAAAGGGGTGATGTGAATGTGGAGCAATTAATAAAGCAGTGTCCACAGACATCAGTTTCTTCCTTCCTACTTATAAAAAATTTATTTATAATTATTATTATTAATTAATTAATTAATTCAATTTTGATTGTTGAAAGAACTAATATCTAAATCTGTATGTGCCGTTTCTCTAGTTCTCACTTCTTATTTGCTCTAACAGTTTAATTGTATTTTTATCCATGTAGACTTTGTCACATTTGCAAACTACTTGGTGCTTGTGTGAAGATCTGTGTTCGTCTCCACTTGTTTCGTCACCTATACATTCTGTCGGTTCACTGTGCATCCTGTTGCCAGTCTGGTTGGTCCTCTGAGGTCCCCACTGTCTTTAAAAGTGGGTTTTTCTGTTGCCCCTTCAGCATTTTGTTTTGTGTAATTAAAACTTTTGGTTTTCTGGACTCCTGAGTTTTGCCTGGATAAAATCTACACACAACTTGACAGCTTGTTACCATGCAGACACTAAACACAAATAAACTTGTGAAAAAAAAGGAAAATGCCAAACTCCATTATAACTAATCATGAGAATGAACATGTCACAACATCTAGCAGAACTTTATGAAGACATGCTGTTACAGTCCAAACTGCAGCTAGCTGCTATACTTTAATGGAAAGAGTCAGTAAAACATTCAGTCTTTCATTTCAGCATCGACAGGAGACCTGTGTGTTTTTGTGTGTTCAATGTGATTCACCTCAGATATACAGCAGGCCGACACACATCAGTGAAACAATTATGAAACTGCAATTTAGCTTCTCGGATATTCCCCTCAAACTGTTTTATTTCACTGTAAAGTTAATTAACTAATCCTGCTTTGAAATGAAACACATCTACATTTCAAGGAGCATTTCCAATTAAAATAGCACCAACAAACTGCTCCCAAATCCCTGTGTGATAAAAGCTAAAAGAATCAGAAAGACAAAAAAAGATAACCAGTTTAACTAAATATAAATTCATAGTTTATGTTCTTCTCTTTCACGAGAAGGCCTTTACCACATAAGCAAACAATAATACCGTTAAACAATAATACTTCATGGTTTTATATTCATGTGTCTGACAATACTTCAAGTAACAGAGTGTGGTCCTACAGAATCAAGTCCAGCAGGTAAGCAGCAAACATGGACCAGAATGTCAAGAGAAGCTCAGCCAGTGGAGAAAAGGCACAAAGGAAGGTGGATGAACTGTCAGCGCCTCGGCACAGACAGACAAGGACAGCTGCAGCATTACTGTCCAGGTTCTCAAAGTGCTGCAGGAAGGTCAAACAAACACAACTCAGGCTTGGAGGAGTGTTGTGAACAGAGAAACTTCTTGACGAGGAGCTTTTTTAAATCAGTGAAGGATGTTCCTGTGAAACACAAGTAGCTGTATTATTGAGATTACTGGTAAGTTTAGGAACAATTGTAATAAACTTTGTTTACTTAATATTTCTTTTGTTAAAAATTGGGCTGGAGTGTGTGAAGCTGTGTTAACTCTTAACAAATACTTTTGAAAAATCATTAGAAGCACTTTATAATTCTTTAGCATTACTTAATCATTAACAAATGGTTAGTTAACCTTGAAAACATAAGTAATTAAGAATTATTTATGCTTAATAGGCTATAAATTAACACATTTATTAACATATTACACATAAAGGCTAAGTACTTCCTAAAGCAACACACGTTTTATTCATTATTTAACTCATGAATTAACTATTCTATATACTGTGTGTGCATATAAATGTACTTTCACACCATGTGTAAGACATGTATTAATGATTAGAGAACATTAGCAAATAATATCCTACTTGTTTTAAATAGTTCTTTAAAATAACTGTTTTATAAAGCTTAACATCTCTGTCAGGGTTGTATTAAACGATTAATAGCATACAATTCTATGATTATTTGCAAGTTCAAAAAAGAGCAGAGTTAGCTTTGGTGCTTCCTTTGCACTCAGAGGCATTTTTAGAAGGAATACTTATATCGCTTGCCAGAATAACTGCATAATTAAAGTTAGCAATAGTGCAAAGATTTTTAAAAAATCTGACATTGTTTTTAGTTGGTAGCATTGCACTTTGATCTTGGACCTCGATTGTAATTAACTCTTTAATTCAGTCAGAATTATACGATTTCTTCAAACTGAGCTCATTCAAACGGCAACAATATACAACAGGTACCGGTAATATTATTTATTATTGATTTAGCATTATTGTTCATATCTTTCCTCAGAAACCCACTTAGAATGACCAGAACCATTGCTATAAAAGCTAATACATTTACTTGAATTGTGCAAACGATCTCATGAACCACTTGGCCGACTTTACTTAAACTTATAGAAAATAGTCATTTGCTGTTCGTCTCCATCATTGCAAGTTTTAAAGTCAACCAGATTTAAGATGGCTGCCACAATTAATGGACATTAGCAAACCTAAAAAAGCTTAAATCTGTTCATTTTACCTGTACTGAACTAAAGTTTGGTGTGTTAGTAGCTAAGACTGATCATTGATCCCATACTCTGAAGTGTCAGTGGATAGCACAGGATCTTTGTTTAAAACACTGGTTTGAAAACAAAAGATGTGCATTTGTTTCAGGTATGCAGCTACTTTTTATTCTAGAAAAAATGATTTGATACAAAAGATATAGTTAATTATTTTTTTGCCTGCTTGTTTCTTTATGTTTAGTTTTACAGTGTGCTTTATCTAAAAAAAAGGTTTACATGGCGTCATATGGTGGCCCTTCTTCTTTTTTCATGTGCTGTCTTTAAAAAGGTCATCTGTCCTTATTGTGAAATAACACCACTAAATGTTCTTAAATACCTTATTGTCCACATGACAGTTTCATGTCTGCACAGAGGAGCTTTCTCGCCGGGTGTCCATGACACTGCAGCACAAAGAGCACAACATTCACAAACACTTAAAAATGACTTGTTTAAGTAATATTCATTGCATTTACAAAGAAAAACCTACAACTGAACTCAGCTGGATTGGCACCAGTTTTCACTGTGGTGCTCCTTCTAGGCTTTTGGTCTACATCAACTGCTTCTGTCTGATTGTATCAGCTGCAGGGCTGGCTGAAATGTACAAATAATAAATCTGTCTCGACGCTGGTTGGTCATGGCCTGAACTCTTGTCTCCTCCACCTCCTGACTTCCAAACAAAACCTCATTTCTTATAAAATTTCCCAGCCTCCTGTAGCCCAAACTTACTTTTCTTTTTATTTCTTTAAATCATGTAAATGGAACTCACGCTTGATGTTGTCTCACAAAGTCTGCAAACTGGCGATCCTTAGCATAGAGCTCAATGATGCGAATTCTGTCTTGGATTTCCTGCAGAAAAAAAAGATTTGATTTGATTGAGAAGAATATATGACAAACAGATAAACAGCAAATTAAACCAGCTGTGGAAGAATCAATGTTTAACTATTCAAAAAAATCACTTTAAAACCACACTGATTTTAAGGCTGAGATTGTCTGATATTTTTTTAGGTAATGCTTATGATGTCAGCAGAAAGTAATGAAAAGTATGATACAAATGTAATTTAGCTCCAGATAAGGAGCTGCCATCTAGGCGTATTGGGGCCAAAAAGATTTACATCATCGCTTTAAATCAAAATGTTTGCATAGAAACACTTTTTCAGTTTGTTTTGACCCAGTGACCATGGAATCCACAAAAAAATCATCATTTAAAGAAATCTTATAAGTCAGACATTGAATTTTTTTTCTTTTTTGCTTGGCTCAACAATCTTTTACGATTAGAAAAAGGATCCACTAAGAAACAGCTGATGCCCAAAAGACAGAACATCTTGAACACCTAAAACACAATCACCAGCAAGCCATCAGCTACATGCAGATTTACTGGTTCTTAGTTGTGGTTGGCAATAAATGAGTTATTGAAAACAAAAGGGACTGTGTTTTTGATTTACATCTTGGGAAAAACACTAAAAAGTAGCAGATACAACCAGACTCAGTTAGGTCTGGCTCAGCTGTTCAAAAATTTGTTCATTTTAGTACGTGGCTTGGATTTGTTAACACGCTGAGCATCTTCATCTTGTTGAAAGGTCCACTTCAGGTTCAACTCTGATTCTCTGACAAACGGTCTTGTTTCTCTTGCAGCACTGTTTGATATGAAGCAGAACTCACAGATGCATTGGTGACTGATCTGCCCAGTCTTTGAGGCAGCTAAGCAACACAAACATAACATTTTCACCAGTGTGCCTCATAGTTGCCTTAAAAAGATGTTACTGATCAAAAATATCTGCTGTTACTGTGGTCAAAAATACTGCTGGTTTCAAAAGACGGTCTTTTGCCCAAAGTTCCTGGAGGTAAAATAGAGAAAATGGGAAAAAAGAAAAAGTAAACAGGTAGTTCACTTTGACACAAACCTCTTTGGTCAGCTCGCTGTTCTCGTAGATGTGTCGTATCTCCTCACTGCTGAAGTCTGTGGAGGCCTCAGCGCTGGCACTGCTGTACATGGGGGGCTCGGGGTAACGGCGATAGTAGTGGCTGTAGCCTGTTGTGGCTTCACTTTCATACATGGGGTTGTATTTGGTCGCCCTGTCTATAGACGGGAGACTTTCTATTCGCCTGCAGGATAACAAAGGAATGTGGAAGCAGACATACCAATTAAAAAAACTGTTAAGTGCAAAAAGGTAGTTTTTCACAGAGATGGAACTGTTGGAGAGTAGCTGATATTCAAATATGACTCAATATTGCAAGAAAATACACAAACTAGATACCGCACAACAATAGCATATATGACATACGCACATACGCAACAGAACTCACATATGGGTAGTGGATGTTTAAGATGCTCTGGTATTTATGTGAGAAGTAATTTTGGAATGGTGAACACAAATAAAATGTTTTGTTGATGGAAAACAAACAAACAAAAAAACAGATCTGTTTTCTGTAGTCTATTTGAATGAGAGTGGTAATAAAACTAACCACATTCACATGCATGTTGTCATATGCACTAATCTCTCATGCAAATTGTTCTTTAGATTTTTTATAAATATAGAAATTATCCGTTGAGACTCGTTTGAGTACAAGCCATTTTGGGTGGAGTCAATAAACATAAATATGAGGCTGTTGGACTGTAGGTCAGATAGGACATTTGTGCCAAATTTCATCAAAATCTGATCATGTTTATAGACGTACAGGCTTGAAATTACAATTTTCAGTCATGTGTTTTGATACTTTTGCCTACAGCTAGGTGGCTTTGGATTTAAAAAGACTGGGTCAAAACGAGTTAATCTGAGATAAACTTAGAGAATGGGTGAAAGAGGGGCTAGTGGGGTTACAAAAAAGAGGAACTGAGAGCAAAGCATTACTGTTCCACTTTATATAGAGCCCAATTGAATGATTTGAATGTGAAAATTTATTTAAAAAAATATGTATGCTTTAAAAAAAGGCAGTATATTGAACTGATTTACCTGCAGGCCAGACCTATTGAAACATTTAGAGCCTTATGATCTACAAATATAAAAAATAGGTCTGAAACTGCTGAGCAGCTAAAATCCTACATAAAGAAAATTAATTTTAATTTTATACATAATACGCATCTTAAAAATTGTCATTTCTTCAGACAACTGACCATTTTCATAAAAAAATAGAAAACATTTGTTAAAATTAGCCGAATAATAAACATTTTTGTTTCAAATATTTTCCTTACTCTATTTTTAGAGGAAGAAGTCATTACATCAACTGAAGTTCTGTGTTTGTTTTTAGACATTTTAATATTAAGATGAATTTCTTCTTGAGAAATTAAACAAATATGGCATAAGAGGTCCAGGACTACAGTGGGTATCAAGTTATTTAACCACTAGTAAACAGTTTGTACAAATTAATGATGTAAGGTCTGAACTTTGTAATATTGTTGGTGGGGTTCCACAAGGTTCTGTAATGGGACCAAAGTTGTTTCTTCTATATATTAATGACTTGGTAAATGTGTCGGGTTTGTTGAGATGTGTTTTATTTGCAGACGACACTACAGTTTTTGCTTGGGTAACATGGAACAGATGTTGAAAATGATGGAAATAAAATTTGTAAAAGAACAAAATTGGTTTAATTGTAATAAGTTATCATTAAATTTGATTTTAAAAATTGCGTGATATCTAGTAATAGAAAGAAAACAACTGATGTTCCATTTAGAGTGGATGGTGTCGAAATTTGCAGTCAGTGAGGTGAAGTTTTTGGGTGTCATCATTGACGAAAAGCTGACATGGAAACTTCATATAAATTACTTAAGAACAAAAAGGGCAAAATCTATGGCAGTACTGTATAAAGTTAAGGAGTTACTTAATGATAAAGCACTATTTATACTATATAATGCAATTATCGTTCCACATTTGATTTATTGTATAGAAGTCTGGGGAAATGCATGTAAAACAATTACTAATCCTATTTTTATTTGACAAAAAAAGGGCCATAAGAATTATCACGAGAAAGCATTACAATCACCCTTCTAATATATTATTTTCATCAATTATCATTATTAAAATTCTATGAGTTGGTTGAATATCATATTCTGCAGGCTATGTATAAAGCTCATAAAAATGTGTTACCTTCAAACATCCAATCTGATTTTGTTAAGAGGGAAAGCTGCTATAATTTGAAGGGACTACAAATTGTTAAACCGAAATTCCGAACAAATTTAAAGGACAAATGCAGTTCAGTGAAAGGTATAAGACTATGGAATAATCTGGAAAATGATTATAAAAGCTATGGATCAATTCATTCTTTTAAAAATGATCAAAGCAAAATTGTTAAAGAAATAAGAAATTGTTTAATTTGTATTTGTAAGAGTTACTGTTTAAGGAGTTAATTTTTGTTGTGTTTTATTATATGGGTTATTATTGTTTGAAATTAATACACTTTTTGTAAATAGGAGCAGATATAAGATTTTTTTTCTTCTGCTGCATTTCATTTTATTTTATTTGTTTTGTTTTGTTGTATGTAGTGTTTTGTTTTTAGAAGGAAATAAATAAATACCATAAATAAATGTAAAAAAAAATAGGTTGTATGCGTATCATAATGAATTTTATTACAGTATTATATTATTCTGTGCTCTTAATTGTGCAAACAAAAAAGCACAAGAGTATGAATTTGAGATTTTAAGCAATGAAAAGTGATAAAAAGTTTGGAGTTAAAATTAATCAAACTTTTATTTACCAATATTTTTTTTTTCAAATTCTAGATTAAACCCTTTGAGAATTAAATGAGCAAATATAAAAGACATCCTCCATCCATATTTGTCAAACAACATGTATACTGAAACCTCTCCAAGCCCGGTATAATTATAACAAGACAAAACCCAACGCCAACCGTCACTGATGTCCCCCCGTCACCATCCAGTGGTGAACAACTGTTAGCAGTTTTGTTGAAATCATCACAGGCCTTGATTATTTAAACAATCTCATAAGGTGAACGGATGGTGTGCTAAGTGATCTTGTTAACCTACTAAACAAAAGTGTTGAGCATGTCTCCCTTATGATGCACACAATTTTTGTTTCAGATCAGATCACGTATGTGTGATTTAGAGCCAATTATGTGCAAAGTGGGCGGGTCTAAAGTGATATCGTCTCAGACAAAGAGACTTTATTTTAGGTCCTGAGATGTTACACGTGTACCAAATTTCATGATTCCAGGTCCAAGCATGGCTTGGGGCTAATTTTTTTATTTATTTATTGTAGGAGGTGATGTGGAGGAATTAGGCCACACACCCAAAAATTGGCCTGCATTCCTATAGTGTAGTGGTTTCGGATTGACCATTGTGAATTTAATGCAGATTGGCTGAAATATGTGGAATTTAGAGCAGTCAACAGCGTGATGTCTGACTCTGTTGCACCACCAAGACCACACCTTCACCAAAAAGTCTTTGTGCTTGAAAGTAAGTGGGATCAAGTTATTATTTGTGTTCTGACACAGTTTGTTACTGATTAGGTCAAGACGGTCAGAGATGGAGCTTTCAAAGCCAAAATATGTCACTTCCTGTTGTCAGGGGACGGGACTTTGTTTATGTCATGTGTCCACATAGTGTGGTTAAGCATGCAAGATGGATGAATCATACCAAATTTGGTGTRTTTTAACCTTTGCTTGTGAAAGTTAGWGCTGTCTGAAATTGTAACGGACAGAAGGGGAACATTTCTAAGTCCCCCTCCTCGGCGATGAGAGACAAACATACATATCAAMCCCTTTGGACGATGACCTGTATAATGAGCCCCAAAAATCCGTAATTTTTGCAAAAAATCGTACTACTCGTACCCACGTGGGGGGCTGTCAGACGCGGAGATGAGAGTGCCTGAGGAAAGGAGCGTGGAAGAAGTGGAGAACTTATTTCTAGCGTTCTTTCTATCAGCAGAACAGGWTGGTGGTTATTTGATGTTATTTATTGGGTTTTTTCTACATCCTACAGCCTCTGACATGTTTAATTAATTTGAAACTGAAGTTTTGAAAAAATCTGTAAAACTTGAAAAAAATCCATGAGATTGCTCTATACGTCCATATACCTGCAAAATGATGGAAAATCTGCGCAAATTATGGACAATCCRTACAACTTGACATATATGGATAAATAGTGCCACAGCACAGATTCCCTTGCAAATTTGTTCGTCAGAGATGAGCGTGTGGGTAGATGGTCTCACCGTACAGGATCCTCAGTCTCATCTTTGTCATACTGGTCCCGTAACGTCCGGGCCAAGAAGAAGAGGACTCCGGATGCCACCAACAGGAAGCCGGCTACAGAGGCGATCGCGATGCCAACTACCAGTGGCTCTGACACGTACTCCTCACAGTGTTCACCTCTGTACCACCAGTTCTCCCCGACACGGCACCTGAGGGGGGTACGTATCAATATAGTCTTAAAATGTTTCAGAGATGAAACCTCAGAGATTATCTAAATATCTAAAACCACATTTTATTTTTTTATTGTACTGACATTGATGCAAAAATGTTTCTCAGTTCTACATAAAGTGATCAATGACTTGTTGTGGAATAAATCCGTGTTTGTTTTCCATCTCCATGGAGCAAACCAATACTTTTAGTTGGACGACATGAGGTAATTAATCTACCAGCATCTGGAGCTGCCCTCATGGTTTACAATGTTGAGGGTGTGAAACACAGATTAGCACTCCTCTTGGCACAAAGTCTCATGTGTGTTCGTTACTAAAGCTAAAGAGACTTGTTTCTGTAACTCATCTGCAACTTGGACTTTTTATTTTAAACATCTTACACACTGTAGCTCTGAATGTCTAAATATGAAAACACATGCACAAACAAAGTGGTAGTTCAGATCTTTTGAAATGGGACTCTGTGAAAACCTTTATGAAAAGCTAATATCTTATTTGTTTCTCTTTGAATGTCTCAAAACTGCTTAAAGGCTATGAAAAATTCATAATACTCATCAAGAGCTTCAAAATTTCTTCATTACTGTACGTTATCCTGTAAAACTTTGTTGCCATTTAGAGTCAAATAAAAATCAATATGTGCCTTTGGGSTGACCTCATTTTGATTGACTATATGCTACTGTATATGTATTTATTGGTAACAATAGATCTGCAGTAATTTGGCTTCTTTACTTTTATAAATGCAGTCTTTCCACATTTAGCAACAATCCAAACTGCTGCTAATGGGAGTAACTCTATCTATCCGTATAAAAAAAACTATACATGTACAATATATAATCTATACATCTGAGCAATTTACTGTGAAAAATTAGGATATTTTACAGTATATAGGATTAAATAGTGAAAAAGACTTGATAACATTAATGCTTTTCCACCCTCTAAAGCAGGGCTATTCAACTAAATTGCTCCGTGGGCCACAGCCAATGCAGACCAACAGCTCAGGGCCGAACATCCARCAATTAAAGTTGTTATGTACATAAACTAAGTATTACAAAGATCCGTTACCTTTGAAATAGTTTATTTTGCTGTATTTAATCAGGAAAACATACAGAACCCTATTTAATAAATGCAGTGATGATAAAACAAAAACAAAACAAAAAAAAAACATATTCTGCCTCTTAGTTACCACAAAATATTTTGACATCTCTGACTTGCCAAATTTTTAAACCAGTTTTATTTTCACTTTCATAGTTTTATCTTCAACTGCTTGTAGTTTTAACTGTCTTGGATATTCATAGAAATGAAGCTAGGCTTGTAGCTAAGATTCTAACGTTTCTGTAGACACCAAATATGTCTAGGTTTAACCAAAATAACTTAGAGTAATTAAAATTGAAACCTGGAGGTTTGGGCTTAAGAAATGAATGAACCAATTGGCGGGCCAAACTTTGGTCACTCGCGGGCCGGATGTGGCCCGCGGGTCGCCAGTTGAGTAGCCCTGCTCTAAAGTCTTATTTATTTATTTATTTATTTATCCAACCCTGGAAAATACTAAATACAAATTTCAGTATTTTCAAGATCTCCAAGGAACTTTGTCAAAATGTTTGAACTGTTGTGATAAAAGCAAATATATCCAAATATGTTTCTGGAGAATTTTTACGTCATCAGTAAAATCAAGCAATGACTGAAACAATTGTTATGGTATATAATATGATAATGTCTTTTAGTGGTACGTGATTTTCATAAACTGAATTCAAAATAGTCACCTTTAAGACAGAAATTATTAACAAATATGTCTTTCAGTTCTGGACAATGTRTTAAACACCTCAGAGACAAATTGTTCCAAATCCAGTTCTTTATTGATGCTAACTGTTTTTGTTCAGAATTTCAACCTGGAGYATGAACTTGAACTTTGGGAACCGCTACCTGAGTCTGCCACTCCCTAGGAATTGTCCCAGTTCTCTATGCGATGTTGAACAGAAACTATGACAACCCCACAATATCCAGAACTTTCAGCATCTCTGGCCAATCTTGTCTACCCCCGGCACCCTGCCACGGAGAAGTTTCTTTACCTTGGATGACCTCAATGGACTCGTCTTCCCCTGAGTCTTTAAACTCTACGTCCTCAAAGGTGAATATGGAGGGTGGATTGAAGAGATCCTCAGTGTTCCTTCAACAGTAYCCTTAGTCCGGGTCAACAGTTCCCCACCCAAACCAAGTACAGCCTGGGACAGGGAACACTTTCCTTTTATGAATTGCCGAACGGTTTTCCAGAGCCTCCCCAAATTCCTCCCATCCCCAAATTTTTGAATCTGCAACCATCGAAGCCACAGCCCTCCTGGCCACCCTGACAGCTCTGCCCTTCGATCTCTTCATCCGAGCATCCAAGACATAGGGCCCCAGGTCTGATGTCATGAGGGATCCCAAATTAGTTGTAACATTAGACCTTATTTGATAATCATTTATTTTAACTGTRAAATAAAGACTGTAAAAATACTGTAGGCTGTTTAGTTTTGTAAAATTTTAAAAATATATTTTAACACGGACGGAGCCATTTTATTTACACGCAAAGAATTCTGGGTAAACGACGTGGAAAGGTCCTCGGTGTGAGCGAGCTATATCCACCCTGAAGGTTAATCTTGGACAATATCTGACGATGGACTCTTTTAAATGAAACCAGAGAGCATTGACAGAGAGGRGAAGGCAGAAACGACTCAGTTTGTAACRGAAAATGTGGATGAAGGACAACAGAGCTGCTTCATGGAAGAAGAACCTCAGCTTAGCCTGTTAGTCTTTGCGCTAGCGCTGCCACTACATCGCCTTATAAGTATTAGCTCGGTGCTAGCACGACAAACTAACAAGCTAAACTGAGGTCCTCCATCCATACTTTTCAGTTACAGGCTGAGTCATTTCTACCTTCTCCTCTCTGTTAACGCTCTCTGGTTTCATTTAAAAGAGTCGATCATCAGATATTGTCCAAGATTAACCTTCAGGGTAGATATAGCTCGCTAGCAGCCTTGCACCAAGGAGCTATTCACGTCATCATTTACCCAGAATTCTTTGCATGTAAATAAAATTGCCCCATCCGTGAAATATATTTTTTAACTTTTAGTTTAAAAATTATAAAAACTAAACAGCCTACAGTATTTTTACAGTCTTCGTTTTACAGTTATGTTTATCAAATAGTATAATGTTACAACTAATCGGGGATCACTTTAAAAGTCTATCTTCGACCTTTGGCCTGGTAGCAAGTACACTTATGGACCAACCTGTGCTCAAAACATTATGTTGGTTACAGACAATCGTGCTTATCACAGAAGTCCAATAACAGATCACCATTCAAGTTCTGAACAATCACCCCCTTTCAAATAACTCCATCATTGCCCATATGGGCATTGAAGTTACCCAGTAAATCAAGGGAATCCCCAAATGTCACTCCTTCCAGAACACTATCCAAAGACTCCAAAAAGGCTGGGTAATCTGAATTAATGTTTGAGGCATAAGCACCAACAACAGTCAGAACCAAGCATGAAGCCACAGAGCAGCAAAGCTCTCATTCATAGGGGTGAAAACCAACACCAAGGCATACAGCCGGGGTCTTGTGAGTGCACCAGCTCCTTACCCACAAGTGAGTTCCACATTCCTAGAGCTAGTYTGTGCCGCCAAGAATCAGCATGGTCAGGGAGCCACCACTCACCCCCACCCCCACCCCCCTTGCCTGCTGCCCAGCATGCATTGCAGCCAACCTTGATGGTCCTCCCTGTAGGTGGTGGGTCCACATGGAGGTGGCCTCCTGTTGTCCTCTTGGGCTTAGCCCAGCTGAACCCCAGGAACCAAGGCTCAACGCCCAGGCACTCGCAGGTGAGATCCCCCACCTGAGGTGCCCGGTTTCCCTTTTCCAGGTGAGATTTTCTGATGTGGTTGCTGTTCCATTTCATCAAGGGATTTTGAATCGCTTTTAGTGTGACCCCTCCCCTGAGGCCTKTTTGCCATGGGAGACCCTACCAGGGGTTATATTATATTATATACCAGGGGTTACCATTTTCATAACAATTGAAGGTAACATAGTTACTTGATTGTGGTATAGAATTGAACTATGTGCCTGGAAAATACATAATACCCACCACCCCTCGTTAAAGAAAGTTCTTGTGGTTAAATTACRCATCTGTCCAGGACCAACTTTCACTCAAAACAAATCCACTTTAGGCTGAAAGATTTTACATGAACTGTTATTATACTTGAAAATCTGTTAGTCACTGTTTCTCATACATACACACATGCAAAAACTCTCACACTCTCAGGCTGATTAAACTCCACTAATCTCCACCCACCTGCAGATGGCTCCCTGGCCAGCGATGATGTCACATTTGCCGTCATTGAGGCAAAAGTCCATCTGCAGCTCACAGATACTCTGACAGGGGAGGCCATCCACACTGAAGTAACCTGCGTTACAAACACACTCGGCCTCCCCTGACCACTTGTTGACTTTACACTCTGCGTACTCGTTACACGCCTGGAACTTACAGGGGTCTGCTTGGTCACCTGGAAAAAAAAGACTGTCATTGAATTGAAGTATAAAAAAGCTAGAAGCTCTAGTGTACTTTATTGCTGATTCATATGAGTTGGTTTAAGGGAAATCTTTGAGCACAACTAGGGTATTTTTGTTGGTAATTGTCCAAATAAAATCCAATTAGTCTTAAATAATTCTGATTTGTAGGGATGGATGGAATTTTTGGCAGATGCAAATTAACACAAAATAATATCAATTCTTTTGGGGGGTATTTTTTCCTATTACCACTGTTATTGTGATGACAATCATCTAAAACAATTGTATCAAATATGCAAATAATTCTTCTACTTGTACGCAAACAATTGTTTAACACCAGTAAACTATACCTGAACCTTTTTTTAACTTTACCTTTAAAGGTTTGTTTATGCTGCATTCACACCGAATGCTTTTTGAGCTTCAAACGCTACAAGTTGGATATTTGTGCACTTGGAAGTCAGCTGCTCATCAAAATTGTTCTAGACGCATGTCACGAGGAGCCTCTTGGTTGTTTTCCTCTGCGGGTCTCTGAATATGGCAGATGWAAGTGGCTTTGCTTTATTTACTGAGAGCAAGAGAACGTCATGCTCACCAGATAATTATTTCATAAGTAATTCACCAGATAATGAGTTTGGTGAGTTTCACCATTCCAGGAGTCGCGAGTTGACGAGGCTCACTTTCAGCTCTATTTTCGTCCTGAGCCCAGTTTGACGAGCTGCTGACCCACATCGGTGCAGATATCTCCTGCCAGGACACCAACTACAGGCACTCGATTTCAGCTGAAGAGCTCCTGTCTATCTGTCTCAGGTTAGTGGACATCGTTTAGGAGACATCCCGTCAGAAAATGTACCACTATGTCACACAGCAGAGTCTCTCTGATTGGTTGACACTCCACGTTGAAAAAGTTCAGATTTTCCAACTCCAGCATTCGATGCTTTGGGTGCACATCAAATGCTTAAAACACTTCAGAACGTGCCACGCTAAATGCGCCACAACACTTTCTGATGTCCCTTGACGTGCATCCACCATAGACTTTGCATGTAAACCTGACGACCCTGATGCTTAAATCGTGTTTGGTGTGAAGGCAGCATTAGTGCTATTTTATAACAGGTTAGAAAAACCATAATGACTACCATTATGTGCAGACTATTTTCCTAATGATAATTAGGAATTCAAATTCAAATATGCTATATTAAAACATTATCAGCTAGTGTTGAGGCTGTTTCATATTGTTAAGCATTTATCTGAATTTTTAAAATAGCTTTTATGYTATAAATATTTTTGTTGTTCATGCATGATGTAATGTAAAATAAGTCTGATTTAAGCATCAGTGAAGCTTCTAAGGCCCACTTCACACCGGAACACAACCTCATTATTCTGATAAAAAATAATCAATATTTATTAAAAGAGATGAATGCACAAAATATTAGTAGTGGGGTGGTTTATCATTGTGATAGAAGAATTTCAAGATCCTGGGTGGAGCGTGGCAGCAGCTATGGCAGATCCAACATGCACTACCTATGATCACGACAAGGTCACTACAACCTAGAGCAGTAGTTTACAACCCTGATCCTTGAGGAACGCTGTCCTACCTGTTTCAGTCTCTGCAGCAGATCTTCCCTGTTAATCGTGCATTCATACAAATCAGCTGTGTTAAAGCAGGGAAGCACATGCAAGAAAATGTTCCTTGAGGACCAGAGTTGGGAACCACTGACCTAGAGCAGACGTGATATTTGTGGTATGGTGAGCTTCATGTCAGGCACAGCTGAATGCGTTGTGGGACTTCTACTGCTGACAGAGTGTAGTATGGTTTCAGGGAAGCTTCTTGGGTAAAATAGGTGTAGCAGAATCACGATCGCCTTAACACCGAAAGCTGTTTAACAAATTTACTTCAGTACAGCCATTTATACATATACAGTAGGTCAAATTAATCATGAAGGGTGAAGGTGGCCTGACAGTTTCCCCAAATGTCATCTTCACAGCTTCAGTGATTCCAAAAGTTTGAAATTATTCAGCAATTATAATATGTTTGAATGCAAGCATCTAAACACAGATCAGGAAAACATTTTTTGTAATAAACGTAAAAAAAAACTGTGAATAAATATAAAAAACATTTGTGAGTTCTTATATCTCATTATTCTATCAAAAGTTCTGAATACATTTGGCCTTGCTAAGACAGAAACAAAWAATCTAAAAGTCTAAAATCAGTACCAGCTGTGAGGTCCTCTCTATTTAATGTTTTGAAATGTTTTCCTGTTAAGGAAAACATTTGAAACTAGGCCATATCCCAGCATAACAAGATGAATGTGAAAACAAATTAACATTGTCTTTATGACATGCTGTAGGAATTTGGGTCAGTCAAATGCTCAGCCAGATCTGTGGCCACGAGCTGCAACATTGTTTGACAAATGCGTTAATAAGCTGAATGTTTTCTCGTGTATATAATTTTTTAACTCGCTGTTTTTCTATAGGCATTCTTTACACCAGCTATAAAATATATTTTTTACTTTATATATAAACACAAAATACCCAAATTTGGTTTCTCCTCTAACTTTCTGTTCTTGTCACAAAAATAACAACGTTAGCTGTGATTGAGTTTGTGGAACATGTTGCTGCAGCAGTTGTCCAGAAACTTAAAGGGGACCTATTATGCAAAATTCACTTTTTACAGGTTTTTTTACTCAACTTTGGGTATGTACTTCTTAAAAACAGTCCTAGGACCAAAAAAATGCACCCATGGGCATATTTACTGTAAGTAAATGTATTTTTGATGTGTATTAACGACAAGTTTTATACTTCCGTCATTTTGTGATGTCACAAGCCGTACGACAACCCACTGGAACCTGCGTTCAGCCCCTTACCTAGCAACCCCCGGGTGAGACTCCACCTCCTCAGTACAAAAAGCCGTCACGGTGTTGTTATGCAATACGCAGCTCATGACACTACAAGCCTCCAATAGTGCAATGGGTAGAGTGTTGGACCAGAGAGTGGGAGACCAGGGTTGGAGACCAGCACAGACACTATTTAATTATTTATTTATTTTTGTTCGTTATGAACACGTTTTCTCATGTACCTCTGTTGTTTAGCTTATTAAAGCCTTGTTAAAGCCTATTTGTTCGAGTTTCTGAGGTATTTTAACSGCTGCTGCTGCTCCCTGCTCTGGTAACAGCATGCAGAGTGAGGGCAGAGCAGAGGAGGGGGAGGGAAAAAAAAGGAGCTGACCACGACTCTGCCTCTGGGTCTCATRTGGTTGTACAACGGAGCTTCTGCTGTTATTAGCCATGCATAAAAGCTGGCTTTGGAGGGCGGAGTTAATGTCAACAGATTTTTGGAGAGCGTTACCAACAGAGCTCATTAACATAAACAGCTCTTCTGAACAGAAGTCAGAGCAGGCAGAATGAGAAAATGGGAAATTTTATTATCTGAGAATTATTTTGTGCATTAAATTGAATGAACATGGTCTGGATAGCCCACAGACATACCATTAAAAATTTCTAGGACCCATAATTGGTCTCCTTTAATACAGTGGGTGTGTTCATTGATTTACGTAACACATTTGACACTACTGACCATGTACGACTACTGGGAAAATCCGAACAATATGGCTTTTGTGGGACCACAACCACAGCAGTGGTTGAAGAGCATTTTTTGGAGTTGAAATTGAAAGAATCTATGAAATTAAATTTTTTAGATATAATTCTGGACAACAAACTTAGCAGGAAGCCTCACGTTGAGTACATTAGAAAWACAATTTGAAAAACTATTGGAATATTGTTTAAAATGAAAGATTTAATATATGTAGGCTTGTATGTTATTTACTTCTCCTACACTATTTGTCATATTGCACGTCCATGACTGTGMTTGCAAGTCAAGTTACAGCTATTAGGCTCATTAATATAGTGGAGTATCATGAACTAACTAATAAACTTTTTATTCAAAGCAATACATTAAAATTTCAAGACATTGTATATATAAAAATACTAAAAATAATGCATAAAGCATTGAACAAATGTCTTCATTCTGGAATAAAAAAATCTAACACACTTGGTCTCTGAGGTATTTTCACTCATTAACATGCATTTTTATGTCAGTAATTCTAACTTGTAATATTTCAAAAATATTTGGCCACATGAATGCTATAGATAACCATTCACCTAATGCCTAGTTTCAGTTTTTCATTTCATTGCCAACCTTTTCCTTAGCAGGCCATACAGAAAACACAGAGGTAACTAAAAATTGTCGAAGTCCTGCTCGGAATAACAGGAGCCGTCAGACCAAAAGTGACCTACCACATTATTTTATGTGGCCCGTGAGAGCTTTAAAGGTGTAATAATGTCTTACATCTCTCATAATGCACGTTGGTCATTTTACCATCAAAATGACAGCATCCTAACTGGGTGGAGGTGCACTGGGTTCAAAGTAGCCGGTTCCCGTTGAAATTTGCCAAGTATAATCTCAATTTCATTTCATTTTTGCCAGCTACTTTTGCTGCGGCCCAGTTGTACTGGGAAATAGAAATTTCCCATTTTCAAGTCTTAAATTTAAACTGGAAATTCCCTCCACAGTGAATTCCCTGTCGGAAAGTAAGTTCAGAATCCAAGATGGCGCCATATACCACAAACTCAATAATGAGTAAATTCACTTTTAAAAGTAATTTTACATTATGTATTTCATATTTATTTATTTCATATTATTTTTCAGTGTTTATCAGAGAACATGTTAACGTTTCTATGCAGGAAATACCCCATACAGCTCTGATATTGTTTGTTAACGGCGCTCAGTCATAGCAATGACATGAGGAACACTGTATTACATGTTTTTAGTTGAAGTTAAACTCAAAATCAAAGTTGAATACATAATGCTCATTTGGCCCTCAGTGAAAATGAGTTTGACACTCCTGCTCTAGGCAGTAACTTCGTTAGTGATTTCATTGGATAAAAGAAAAAGTTAAGCAGTAAAACCTCACCTGATTCCACATCCAGCGAATATTTATCAATGGCTAAGTTCATGGTCTGGTAAGCAGTGTTGCAGAAGTCCTCCAGAATCAGATAAACAGTGGTGGTGACGCCACGTGCCACAGGCTTCCCAAACCTCATCCGGCTGTTGATCACAATGCTCCCATTCCTGAAGTTCAGGATCTCCAGGTTCTCAAAGTAGCTCAGGTTAGACTGGAGGTATGGCACGAGCTGGGACAAAAGAAAATGAATTCAAACCAAACACCAGTGTGACAAAAACAATGCTGTAAATTGTAGGTTTTTACCAGCTCCAGAAAGCGTTGCTCCAAAGCTTTATACTCTGGGGAGCTCTTGTTAAAAAGATCTTCTGAAAAGACCATGTTGGTCACTCTCAGACTGAAGAAGACCATCAGAGCTCGTCTGGGGCTTGCAGGCATGGCAATACTGGCCTGGTCTGTGTCATCCACCACACTAAACGGAGATCCAGTGCTACCTTCTTCTGTGTGGTTCTTCAACCCATAATCAAACGAGACCACACCATAATCCTGGTCTTCTGGAGTGGCATCCCCAAAGTCCTCATGAATGGTTGGTATCTGGGGAATAAAATGCACAACCTTAAAAATAAATAAATGGGGTAACAAAAATAGTATTAATACTTGTATTATGATTAAACGTCATGTTTGTAGTAGTTGATTTAAAAAGATCTGTAGGAAAGTTATGAGCAATTAATATTTGTTATGTTGTACAAAGTGTTTTGGATGGCCTCAGTTTGACAAAAAAAGTTTGAATCGGACCAAATTGACAAGATAACGGTTAGTTCAAATGGGGCCAAGAGCTAACTAAYCAAGTTTTAGAGTGATTTATGAGAACTCTAATTTATAAATGGCCATTAATGTTTCATTGCATATTACCCACATTAAAAGATCTGATTTCTCTTTATCATTAAAAACACTAAAACTTTTGCTGCATGGGCTTTGAAATACTGGAAACTGCTAATCCAAATAGAGGTTCTAGCATACAAAATGTGATTTTTTTTTCTTTCAGCTGCTCCCTCTGCAGGGGGACCCCAGAGTGAGCGAACACACGTGAAATGTTGGGTAATAGTTTTACATCAGCTGCCTTACCTGATGCAACCTGCAGCCTCAAGATTAYAAGACAGCAGCTCTGACYACTGAGCTACCACAGCCCAGGGGTCTGCACCCTTCACAACTAAAAGAGTTAATTCTGCTATTTGGCTCACAATAGAATGTGTCCAGAGCCACAAAACATGCTACAACTGTGATTCTCAACTGGTGGTCTGTGGGCCACTTCGAGTTTGTTGAATGGGGGCCTTTCCAGACAGTGGGATTGACATTATAAAACTAAAAATATGTCAGATTTTTCATGTTTATAATTATTTTTACATTTTGGGACAAAAAAGACCATGTTCATGTAGGTTTATTTCAAATTTAATAAAAACTACAACTGAACTATGCAGACATTTTTGTTTCTAATTCTTCTCATTATCTAGTCTTAAATGTCTTGAAAGGTAACCCTGATGAATTCAAGAGAAAGATTCTTCTTTAAGGCTGGAACAAGCTACTAGCATGATCTAATCCAMGTTTCACTTGTTGTATTAGTAGTAGTCAGTGGTGGGCAGCACTAACCTAAAAATTAGTTTCACTAGCACTGAAACACTAACTCGGATATTTAAGTCCTCTAATTCTAAAGGACTAATGCACTGAAAGTTATAGCAAAAGCTAATTCTAAAGCACTAATAACCAAATCAACCTATAAACATTCTTCAACAGACAGCATGAGTCACATATTGCCATGTTGCTCTCTTAAGACTTATCATTGACATTCCACAAAGCCCTAAAGCACCAATCAGGAAATTAGTTACCCTATTAGTGCTTTAGGGGAATTGTGCCACCACTGGTGGTAGTGATTTTTGCAAAATGACAGGAAAATTACTAAAGTTTGCCCTTTTTTGTGAGTTTAAAGTGCCAAAAAGCCGCTGTAGAGGGACCAAAGAACTGCAGGTTGCTGACCCCTGACCTAGGATATAAACTAAACCGTCCTAAACCAACACTGTGGCCAATAAGCTCAGATAAAGTGAAATGAGACAAAACTTCTCTGCAGCCCGTCGGCTTCAAATCCTAAACTTTTCAAATAATCATGAATGAAGTGCCTTCTGTACTAAATGAGAGGAATTATCTGGTTTCTTATCAATTTGAGACTCAAAGTCCAGTGTTGAAGTGCATTCATGTGCACAATATATGTAATAATTGTGAGTTTAAAGGCACCATTAAAACTGACYGTTAAAGTACGGGTTTTGGAACATATTCTGTCAACAAGAAAACACCTTCATATTTGTAAAAACATGGTTTTCATTTGGTAATATTTAACAAATCAGACTATGTGGATTTGTTAAATGGCATACAAAAAGACAACATATTGTAAATTAAGTAGTAGTCTTAATGTCAGTTAAGATGCTGATCTTTTACCTCCAACAATAAAGTGATGGCTGTATCAGGTTGGCCTTTAGTATCTGTGATAATGTCCGAGATAATGGTAAAAGGTGATTCCACATCTGCAGACAACAAGGTTGGTCGGGGAGAACTTGGAGAACCTGATGCTGATAGGTCAGGATCTTCTTTGTTCACCAGTAAAATCTCATCCTCTACAAGCTCTTCAATTAGGATCTCTGGTGCAAGAGGCGCCTCTTCCTGGACCACCACAGTGTCAGATGATTTCTCATCCTTTATCTCCTGCCCTGTGCTCTCTATCACRTCCTCAAAGCCTGTTTCTTCAAATGCAGGTTCCTCAGGATGGGTCAGCAACACATTAATAGTTGCATCTTCTTCAGGCTTGTTGAGGTTAACTTCCACAACAAAGTCCTCTGCTGTTCCAACCACAAGATYAACACTATCTAACAGTGGAGTCATTTCTGCTGAAGCTGATTCACTTCCCAGAACTTCAGCTTCTGCAGGTGGTAAAATCGCAGGTGGGTCTCTCTCTTCTGTGGTTTCAGTTGAAATCGTGGATATCTCAAGCTCCTCTAAGATTTCAGCTTCATTGATATGTTCTTTTAAAGAAGCATCAGTAGGTTCTYCCTCCGTAGCAGCAACCCTCTCTTCTTCACCTTCAGATATATCATCCTCATTCCCGTTGAGGGACACTTCTTCATCTTCTGCAGTGCTTGTAGAAGGTTCATTTAGGTTGTCCAGATGAKCTGGGCCTGAGCCAGACGCCTCGCTTTCCACTGGTGGTTCAGACAGCATGGGGCTCTTTGGTAGTTCATTGGAGGGAGGTTCAGGTAGGTGTTCTTTAGATGAGATGGTTTCTGGAGCTGCCACAGCCTCTTCTAACAACAGTCCTTCYTCTTCAATGCCTGGATGAAGAAAGATGTGAAGAAAATTTATTGGTCTTATTTACAATGCAACAAAGGACACTGCATGTTTTTCCAAAGTCCAATGACTGTAACTCAATAACAATAGAACTAAATGAGAAGTAAAACTCATGGAAATGTGACCCTACAAAAAAAAAACATGGAAACAAAGCATGGACTTGCATAAATCAGTGCAAGCTTTTGTTAAAAATCAAAACTTACTGCCAGCTTCAGGTCCATCGTTGTTAAACACAACTGCAGGAGACACGACTGCACTCTCCTCCAAAACAACAACATCATTATCTGCTGATGTCACYGTGTTGGTTTCTGAAGGTCCGGACAGAGTGGCATCCCCACCATGCTCATCAAGGGTCATGACCTCTGGGAGTTCATCAACAACACTGCCCTGCATCACAAACAATTTACATTATTTAAATCCTTAAACAAGGAAATATGATTAAAGTAAGACATCAAGAGTATTTAATTGTTTAGTTATGGAAAGATGAACCAGTGAAACAACTCAAGACTTTCCAACTAGAAGAATAGTTCTTGAGATGTATAAAAATGGTGTGCTGACCCTTTAAAAATGACAAAGAGTTGTGCAACTGTTAAATTCCTGTGTCATCAGATCTGTTGAATATCTGATGAAGTTTTACAACCAGAAGTATCTACAGTGTGTCACACATTGGAAGGAAAATAACCAAGCTAATCCTGTTAGTGATATTGGATTAAAGAGGTGGGACTCATAGTAGAGAATGAGAACTGTTAACCCATTCAGACCAGATAAAACACATGCATGTTTCCTTTCCACACGGAGCATCATCAGTGTGGTTTTTATCATTCAAGATTCACATTATCATTTTAAGACAAAGGAATAATATTTTATTCTTTATGTTCTCAAATATAAAGGGAAATTAAAATAATTTACATTATGTCTTAACTTCTAAATCCTTTAACCGCATTTTTTATTTTCTAAGAAGTTGAAAAATAAAGTAAAAGAATATAGATCTGAATYATCACGCCTTAATGATAAAAAAGTAAGGCAACTTTAACAATCCAGAATTTGTTTGTTATCAAAAAGCTAATCCAGCCACAAGACAACATGAACAAAGACAGTCTCCTTTCTGGATCCTGTGAGGTGTTGTGCGCTGTTCTCTTTGTCCGAGAATAAGCGTGGATTATTATAGCAAGAGCCAACATAATCCACAAAGCTTCGCCTCATCCGTCCCAGTGAGCTCATCTGCAACCTGCGCCGATGAAGTCTGGATAACATCCCAAGCCATTTACAGGTTATCGCAACATCAGTCGAGTGGCAGAGGTCAGTGGCATTAAACACTGATCAACTTTACTGGGCCGAAGGCAGCTGGACCATCTGCAGGGAGCCTGATGTCTGAATAGCTGATCAGATTACGTACCGTGACTTTGCCTGCAGTGCTGACAGATTCCGAAACCAGAGACACTGTGGAACCTGAGGAGAAACAAAAATGAATACGCACTCACATAAAAGGGCTGACATATTTCTGGCCTGCCAGAGTCTGCCTGCAAAATCTGTTTTATTTTTTTATTTATTTATTTTTTGGATGGTCTGCCAAAAAATCTGTTTTAGTCACCATTAAGGCATTCTGCATTCAGACTTCAAGGGGGTAAAATATCTACAAATCAGTGCTAAAATAATCTGGTGTAAACAAAGCAGAGCTGTTTCTTTAGGCTACTCGGACACACATGTGGGCCATATGAGAGTGTTTAGCCGTAATTTTAGATGTCACAGTCTATAACTAATGTGTGAATCATCATTTTCACCAAGCAAACTACACAACGTGCTTTTATTAAAAAATATGAGCATGAAAAAAATCTCACAGGAGGAAGAAGATAAGAAGATGGTACAGATATTATCACATTATTCAACAAAATGTAGTCCAAGCATCACGTGTACGACTGCAGCGATTTACAGCCACCGTCGAGATAAAACKGGGTCATCTGGAGTCAGTGAAGTTCTCTAGGTCTCTGAGGTTAGTGGCTGGAGACATTAGCTCTAATGAGCTAATAGTATAATCTTAATCTCTATCATACTGTCACGGCATGTTTTCACAAGAAAGAAAAGGGTGTGTGTGAAACAGGGGAGGTCTCGGCTGAAGCCTACAGGCGTTAAGCTGAGCAGTAAAATCTGCAGTGATTTTTGCACCAGGATTTTAAAGGGTTAAAATTGTATTAAAAGTAGRCATACCATGATTTTAAATCCTTCTTTTTCACATTTAAATCTTTACGTTGGGGTTTACAAAAAGTAGAACTGCAATGCTTTGGTCTGGATTCCCCTTTTCTGATATCTGTCTCAGCTCAACTCATTTTGAGGCTGTGTCTTTAAATCCAAAAGAGACACTTCATACCCTGCCCTCCTCTAGCTTCCAGATAGATTCATTGCAGTTTAAAAGAGGGGTTTATTACTATCTAGCAGCGCATAAATGTTTTAAAAATGTCAACAAAGACTTATTTATCCAGCCTTAAGTGTTTGGAGCAAGAGTCTGACCCAGAGCCAGAGAAGAATGAGTATGGGCAAACTGTAGTTGCTAAGTTTGTACTGCTCGTCATTGCAGCATTGTTCTACCACATGTGCAGCTCTACAAACTACCTTTTCCTTTTAGAGARCAAAAAAGAAAGTGTAGAAGTGTCTGCAAGTCTTCACCAACAGGTGTTATTGGTCCTCCTATAGGTGAGAGTTTTCTCTGACCCATGAATGTTCAAAGGTTTCTGCACATTTGTTTATTTTGAGCTTAACTCGCCTGAAAAATAATTCAGTCAAACCAAATAACAGAGAAGACAGTGCACATTTCCTAGGAAGCCACAGAGTAAAATTAGCTAAAAACAGCATTTGTCTCTTTAAATAAAATGTGGTCTATTTTGGCTAAAAGACAACAACACAGATCAAATATTACTCAAGAGATTATGATACTATTTAAAAACCTATCTGCAAAATATAAAAGTGTAATGCAAATTCATTGGGCCTCATGCAAGAACATGTTCGTATTCTTATCCTAAATTTCTCTTACTTTTGTTCGTA